GAATAGACGTCAAATCTCTTGGGATGATATTTGGGATGATTTGGTTACTCACGCTCCACCACGCCCTGCTCCTGACAGCTGGCCAAGCCTCACACCGGAACAACTCCGTTCTGCCACCAAGTGTAGCCGCGGCAGTGCGCCGGGGCTTGACGGCTGGAGAGCTGAGGAACTTAGTTTGTTCAGTGACGAAATGTGGCAGGTCATGTCCGGGTTCTATGATCATTGTGAAGAGCTCGGAAACATTCCTACCATATGGCGATGTGTTCGCCAAGTGCATATCCCGAAAGGGAAGCCACCTGAAGCTGACGGCAGCATGCTGGCGGACAACATGCGTCCCATAGCTGTGATGTCGATAATCTGGCGAATCTGCAGCCGAGCCAGATTCAAACAAACTGAGGTTCAGGAATGGATCCACACATCCACCCCCGAATGCATGTTTGGGGGAATTCCCCAAAAAGGTGTTGAGGATGCTATCTCTCACATAATCCTCAAAGACATGCATAGCTGGCCGGTTGGTACACTTGACCTGACAAAAGCTTTCGATTATTCTGACCCTGAGATAATCTGCAAACTCTTTGTCCACCAAGGTATGCCGCGCAAAGCTGCACGCATGTTGTTAGCATGTGGAGCGAACAAATCCGTTTTCTTCAGCTCCATGACGAATTTTTCCCAAACAACCATGTTGTCAAGCGCTCCCTGCCGCAAGGTGACTGCTTTAGCATGTTAGGCATGTGTGTTTTGCTTACTCCCATTGCCAATCACATTCAGAGAAAATACCCTTGTTGCGTTCAAGCTTTATATGCCGATGATCGTTCTTTCACTTGTTCCACTGCGACTGAAATATGGCAAGTTCGAAATGAATGGCATGTTTGGAGCAATAAGGTTGGTCTTCAAGAAAACCCCACCAAAGAGCAATATTACCACCGCAACGTTCAAGGTTGCCGATCTCTCGAGGATGCCGGCTGTCCTCCAGAAACAGTTTCCACTTCCATCACCTTGTTGGGATTCCAGTTCATGGGAGTGACCCAAAGAAAAGCCAAAGACCGAGAACTGACAAGACTCACTGAGGCCAAAGAAGTTCTTCGAAAATGTAGGTGCCTCCCAGGTTCCAAAACACGTAAAGCTGCAGTTGCAAGGGTTTGTGCCCCAGCAAAAGCAAGTTGGGGATGGCTGTTTCGAAGACCCACTCATGCTGAAAGCAACGCTTTCTTTCAGGGAGCAAAAGCGCTGCATCAGTGGCCAAAGCAGTCAGCCGTACCTTTACTCCAAATTTTTACTGGCCATTGGTGGGACTTAGGCTTTGCTGCCACGGTTACGACTCTCCGAGTCCTCACCCGCTATGTTCACAAAACACAGATGCAGTTGCAAAACTGGCCACCCAAAATGAGTGGCTGGACGGGTAGCTTTAGAAAAGGCATGCAAGAACTTGGGTTCGCTGAGGCTGGTAGTTGGACCTGGACGCACCCGATGCTTGAAACTATTCAGATTCAACCAACCACGCTGCCTGAAAAGGCGACCGAAGTGCTGTCACATAGGCTCAGAGATGCTTGGCGAATCGGAAAATATGAGGAATTCTTGGAACTTGACCGACGCGACTCAACGGTTTGTGCAGACATTCCATGTGACCTGACCCGCATTAATATTCTGCGCAAGAAAAAACTCAACAGTCACGAACTGGCTGTTGTAACTGGTGCTTTCATTTCACCTCAATGTCGAAATGCCATGGGAGGTGCTGAAGAAACATGCCCTTATTGCCAACATGTTTGTGCCACTGTGCAGCACATGCTTTGGGAATGTACTCAGAACCCACACCGTGATCCTACTATTAGACCCCACGATGTGCTGCAGGAAAGACTCGCATGGCCCACTACTGATCCTACTAAGGTGGACCATGACAACAAACTTCTAAGGTTTGCAGCTGCAACACGTGCTGATGTGTTGCAGCAGCGCCACGACGACTAGAACCCCCTCCATTCTATTCTGGCGATCGCCTCTGGCCTGCGCTGCGGCTGCGGGCAAGTGCGGGCAGCGTCATTGTCTACATCATCATCATCATCATCATCATCATGTTAAATGTCGTAAGCAGCTTCTCCTGCGCCTCCAGCCACAGCAGAGTGGCACGGTCGCTGCGGGCTCGTCACGGGTGCCAGGCAGGAGAGAAAATTAACGTGGCATGGCCCACGTTTGTTGCAGAAGAATTTGAAAAGAAAAATACAAAAGAAAAAGAAAAAGAACAAAAGTCAAAAAAGGAAGACAAAAAGAACCAATTCAAGAATTTGAATGTGCATTGCACGAAGAGAGCGATTTTTCAAATCGCCAAAAAAGACAAGAGCCATAAGGCCAATCCTAGGATGATGGCTGGCTGGCTGCTGATGCTTTGCTGGTCTGTGCCTTGCTGTGCTGCATTTGACACCAACAAGGACCTGGCCGCCAACCATGACGTCAATTACACCGGCCGCCCTGGATTGATTGTGGAAAATGCCACAACTCAGTCTAACGGCCCCCCAGAGATGACCCGCAACGGGAAAAAATGGCAGCTGACAATCGATGTGCCTCGCAGCGGGCGGCAGATTGCAGATGCGCTGAGCGAATATGGCTCCGTGGATGTGGAAGCTGGTTTCAGACTTTTGACGGAAGTAAGTGCAACTACTTTCGATATCCACCCCTACGGTTCTGGTTCTGACCCCTCAAAACGTAAATTCCCTGGGATCCTCAATGTGATTTTGGATTTGGTCGCTAGGTGTCACCATGGGAAGTTTGGATTTTACCCTCTGAGTTTTGTTTCCTCCAAAATGTGGAATTTGGGTTTGGAATGGTGGAAAATTGGGTTTCGCCCCTGGGAATCTTTTCCCCTCGAAATGTGGAATTTTGAGATGGGATGGTTTGATGAAAAAATTCATTGGTCACCCTTTCTTATCTGGTTTTGTTTGGGCACCATGGGAGAAATTTGCGGCTGGTTGCTTAGGTACGGTGTCACTAAGCAATTTGTGCTTGCATGTCTCAAACGGGCTCAAGACAAACGCAAACGAAAACGAATTATCAAACGCTTGAAAAACAAACGCTCAGTGAAAAAATGCAGTGATCTCAAACGCTGTCAGAAGTTGTTGAAACCACATGTTGCATGTGCTGCTAGAAAATGCAGCACGCACAGACTCGGAAAAGCACGCCTGAAACACAGACGATGTGCTTTGAAGCTTCGGATGAGATGGACATATGTTCGAACCAATGGCATGGATGTTTCCCTGTCATACTCTTTCCTCTATTCGGGTTTTCCGAGACCCGAAGAATGGCCACTTGGATATGATGCACTGAGCTGGTACAAGCCTGATGCGAACAATTGCATTTTTGCCTCTGAGTGGTTGCAAGGTGGATATAAACGAAGGACGCAAAGGAAAAAGAATTACAGTGACAATGACAACGCCGCGGTTAGGAGTTTGATCCAAGGTTTGAAGGTATGTCTTAACCAAGGTTCTTTTCCGAAAGAGGTTGAATCCGTGATGTCCTTGTTAGGTCAAGTGGTCGGTCAAAATTCACCCAAAAAGATGTTTAAGAAAAAGAAAACGGTGAAACAGGAGCCCAAACCTGACCCGTCTAGACAAGAGCAGCTGCGGGACAACAAAGATGAAGACTACACCATTCTTGAGACAGGATGGTGGAAAATGAATGGTGCGTGGAAACAGTATTGCAGAGACCCACAAACAGGATGGTGGTGGTGGGACAAGCGTGGTGACAAAGTTACCACAGTGGACCACAACCCCAGACATAATGAAAAGAAACAAGACACTGAGGTTCACAAACCTCAACAGAATACTCCAAACCTTGCCAAGGTGCGAGCTCTCAACCCAGTTGAATGGAACAAGCCAATCAAACTTGTGGATGCGCAAACAGTTTGCCAGGCCATTAAGGAAGGAAAAGACTGGGATGGAAATATTTGCTGCAGTCATGACAGACAGGTCACCCAAGAACTTCGTGACTTGTACACAAGCTTTGGTTTCACGAAAGGACTCACTTTGGTTTTGTCAGCTGATGCAATGAATCCGCTTGGCATCACACTGAGCAGGACCAGGCTTCAAAGGACAAACCAACATGCCAAGGTCGAAGACATTGCCTTGCTCGGTTTAGGCTCTGACTACCCTTGGAGAACTCACCCTGTTAAAGTTGATCCCAACAATGTTACTACGGTTGAAAGGGAATTGGTCAGAATTGTCGTTCCCTCTCACTATAGAGAACTCTTTGTATCTGAACCCCAAAAGGAACGTGTCGTTGATGTCATTTCCGACTTGGCCACTTTTGGATGTCGTGCACATGTCCTCACAGGTGGCAGGTGGGAAAGACAGGAATGGCAGAAACAAAGTTCAAGTTTGGTAGGATGGCTTAAGCTCACCAAAAAAGATGCGGAAACCCTCCTGGAAAAATCAGGGAAAAAATGTATTTTTATCAATAAGAATATTGATACCTCTAAGGAACGTCCGCATTTTGTGTGGACCAAACACGAAAAAGATGAAACCGATGAAGCATACTACCAGAGATGCCTTCGTCTTTCAGGCGAGAGAGGCCAGCCGATGTGCTTACGGAAAGGGTTGGGAAATGACATTGGTTTCACAAAGAAATCAGATGAAGACATCGAAAAGAAACCCAAACGAATTCAGATTTCTGGAGTTCCCAGGGACTGGATGGCGGAAGAACTGGTTGATTTCCTCAAACAACAAGGATGGACCCAAATGACTATTCACAATAGAAGAAGGGTCAACAAGAAAATTTTTTGGAACGCCTGTGGAATGCCTCCTGTTGCATCCCCATACGACCAGGGTCTTTGGGTGTATGAAGGTGCCACTGTGTTTACCATAATAGTCAACGACTCGGTCCATAAACCTGCAGCGCCAAACAGCACCACTGCAGTCAGAGGACCAAGGAAGACATGGGATGAAATTAAGGATCAGCCTCCACAGACGGCCAACACGCGGGGGCGCCCCGCGAAGAGGCAGGCCAAAGAACCCGATGAGCGACATCGGGCCAGATCTGCCGCTGAGAAGCCCGAAAAGGGCGATGAAAATAAGGACCCAATGGAAGTCGAAAAAACGCAGTTGGACTCTCAGACTCAGCCTGAAGCGATTGACAAGCAGAGTTCAAAGCCAACCTCGCAGTCTCTTGGTAATTTGACGGATGCCTTAACCCAACACTGGACGCTGGCCGATCAAGGTGGATGCGGTGACTGTGGGTACCGGGCATTAATAGACAACTTTCATTATCAAACCACTGGTGAGACTCTTTCCAAAGAAGAATGCATCAAAAATGCCAATCTATTTCGTACGGAAGTGGTACGACATGTTCGCAAACATCAAGATAGGTACGAAAACCATGTCAGAGGTGGGAAAGAGGCCTTTCCTGCCTTTTGTGACAATGCGTTGAAGCAAACTCACTGGATATGTGGACTGCTGCTGCAAGCGGCAGCAGAGGTGAAATCATGCTGCATAGTGGTGTGGAATCAAAAAGATGAAGTTCTGGAAAGATTCACTTTCGCTCCTGAGTGGAGTCCACAGGGGATGGCCAGAATGAAAAAAGAAGCACCAATCCTGGTGGTGTACAGAAACGACAAACATTATCAATCCGTCCGACCACCCCAGGATCAGGACGGCATGACTAAGGTGCCCAAACACTGGGCGCGAGAGACAGCCAAACCCGAGGCCGAAGCACTTGGAGGCGCTGGACCAAGCGTTGGAGAATCGCCTAACACCCTGCACACGCTCTCCCCTGGCTCTTCCCATGCTCCTTCGCTCCATACTCTCCCCGCCTCCTCCTTTCGCGGATCCTCGGGTGGGGGTGTGATGATCACGCGCGCGCCGTCCCTGCACTCCTTGGTTCCTTCCGCGTCTTCTCCTCCGCGTCTGCGCGCGGTTGTGCACGGCCATGCGGCGGGTGGTGGTTCTTCGGGTGCCCTTGCGCGACCCCATCCTCCGCGCTCCCCCTCTCTTCTTACCTTGGCTGCCTCCCCTCACTCCTGCGAACCTCCGCGTGCTGCCATCAAATCCCAGCAGTTGCAGCATCCGAGTGAAACGGTTGCAAGACCGTTCAAAAGATGCAGGTTCAAGCAAAGCAGTTGTGACTCAAGGATTGAAGACATGAAGTTTCTTGCACCCTCTGAGAACGATAAAGCTTCGGTTTTATCTTTAACCTCAGAAACTCACCTCAATTTGACAGACAACCTGACCAAGGACCGGTCGGGTACTAAGGACAAAGGCGCAGTCAAAAATGACAACACAGAATGCGACTTTCGCCCTGACACTGCTCCATATCCTCGACACCTCAAGCAGCTGGATGCTAAGACGCTTGCCAAACCGCAAGGACCTCAGGTATGGGTTTGTCCGCTGCCTGACTGCCGGCATGAAATCAGAATTCCTGCAGGTTTGCAAGCGAGAGCCAAGCTTCAAGCTGCAAAAAGTTCACACCTGAAAAATAGACATACAGATTCCGAAAGAGCTGAATGCCCGCGACTCGGTGCTCAAACTCAGATCACAGTCCCGACCTCGGAACTTCCTGAAAGTGGCAGAGCCTGGAGTTGCCCAGAATGCGGGAAAGGACTCCCACTGTTGCCAAAAGTTTGGCACGAAGCTAGTGTGGCACGAAGCTAGTGTCCGCAAACATTTTGCCGAGGCACACCCTGACACAAATCCAACTCAGGCGTACAGGAAGAAACAAAGAACTGACAAAGGCCTTCGAGCTCGTATGAAACTGCGAGGCAGACATATAGGTCAGCTCAAACAACAGAAGGTCGCTGACAACCTGAAAGTTTGGGCTCCGCAAACGGGGCATGATGTTCGCCAAATTCTTCTCAAACATAACCCCAAAGAAGAGAGACGCAAACTTGATTTGACGTCCGTGCTTGTTTGTGCCAAATGCAGACGAAAAGGGACACCATGTAGATTCAAAACCACCGCATGCACTGATGAAACTCAACCTATCCCGACTCAATTGCTGGGTTGGATCCGAAACATTGCTTTGCGACACCCTGCGAACCAAGGTGCCATCAGAAACGGACTTGGTATGACTGAAGCCGAGGTTGCAAATGCAAACTTCCAAACCAAAAAAAGAGTCAACGGTAAAGGGCCAGCCAAGTGGCTTAGCGGTCCGTTTGCCACCACTTTTCAGGCGGCACAAGCTGCAGGGCACTTAGTTACTGAGGTCCTTCCGCCGGATGCCATGCGCCACCCGGACTCCACTGCTAAAAAGTTTCCCAAGGGATACCTGACCTGTAAAATTTGCCACAAGGTTAATCCACTTGGTGCTGTCAAAATCTGGACGAATCCATGCCTGGGACATGATCCCACCTCCAAAGGTTTCCAGTCTCAGAAAAGATATTGGCAGTCTTTAACTAAAACCCCAAAAAAAGCCCTCAGTCAAGCATGGGGGAAGACTCTGCAGCAGGGGGAGGAGCTTTTTGCCTCCCAATCCTCCAACAAGCGCAGCCGTAGAGCCAAAGAACATGACCATAATGATAAGGTTGCTGTGAGAATTGGTGAAGCGTCCCATCCAGGACCAAGATCACGAAAATTGCGCAACTTGGATCAACATGTGTCAGTTTGGACATGCAACACTCAAGGACCCAAACAATCGTGGACCTTACAACAGCTGCTCCAAACCCAGGAGCAGGCACCTCAGATTGTGCTGCTTCAGGAATGCTCTTTTAGCCAGGCTGAATGGACCACATTTCAAAAAACTTGTTGGTCTGTGGGGTACAGAAGTTTTTTCTCCGGTGCGCAAAGCACCGTCAATCGACACTACGGAGGAGCTGCAGTCTTGGTTAAATCTTCACTACCTTGTAGACCGGCCTGGTCACACACTCACAAAGGAGGTAGTGCCCAAGCTGTGTGGGTGGGATCAACTCTGGTCATCTCCACTTACCTGGCTCCTAACAGTGATGCAGAAACCGTGAGTGCAGCTGTGGCTCAAACTGTCCACTCTCTCGCTCCAAGACATCGTTTTATTTTGGGGGGGGATTACAATGCCACACCCGAAGAGAATCCCTTTCTTCATTTCTTGATTCCTAGGGAATTTCGTATTCATGCCACTCAAACCCCAACGCGGTGGCAAGGAAACCGCGATATTGACTACTATATCAGTAACCTTGAGCCTACTGAGGTCGAAACGCTTCCTGATGTTGTAGCCGACCACAAAATTGTCAAAACTTTTTTCGATTTATCTACCGAACCTGTTTTAGGTTTCCAACAAGCCAACATTCCTAGAATCCTCCCGAAGGACCCGGAAGTTGCTGAACGAATCCAAATCAAATTGGCTCAGCTCTGGCCGCAGTTTTCCACACAACTTCCAGAGCGATGGTCAGTCAATGTTGACCAGGACTGGCAGATGCTTTCGCAAACTTTTTTTCAAGCCCTAGTTTGTGCAGTCAGGGCTGCTGCCCCTGACATGCTGCAGCGAGTGTCTCCGGCCTTACTGAGGAAAGGAAAGGCCACTGAGGTCTCTCTTAAACAGAAAGAACACATGAAACGACATCCTGCTGGAGCTATGGCTACTCACCGCCAAAGAGTTCTGCGCAGATTGATTGGAAGGTTGCGGGAAGCCCAGCGAAACTTGGATCAAGACAGGCAAAATATCACTGAAAGCCGAGTTCTCTGGAATAAAATCAGACGGTGTTCTATGTACAACCATGATTGGGGTATACAAAGAAACCTTCGGCATCTTGAAACGCTTTTGGAACGGTTCAATCATGAAGATGACTACACCAGACTTCAACGATGGAGAAACAACATGGAACATGACAAGGCTGCATACAGGTGGCTGCGACATAGATCTGTTCCCATGTGCAATGCGGTTAAGAAAACCAAAGACTCTGTTCCTAGTCACTCCACCCAAGACAGCCTGAGGATTCTCAGGGAATTTTGGGCCGATATTTGGAATAGACGTCAAATCTCTTGGGATGATATTTGGGATGATTTGGTTACTCACACTCCACCACGCCCTGCTCCTGACAGCTGGCCAAGCCTCACACCGGAACAACTCCGTTCTGCCACCAAGTGTAGCCGCGGCAGTGCGCCGGGGCTTGACGGCTGGAGAGCTGAGGAACTTAGTTTGTTCAGTGACGAAATGTGGCAGGTCATGTCCGGGTTCTATGATCATTGTGAAGAGCTCGGAAACATTCCTACCATATGGCGATGTGTTCGCCAAGTGCATATCCCGAAAGGGAAACCACCTGAAGCTGACGGCAGCATGCTGGCGGACAACATGCGTCCCATAGCTGTGATGTCGATAATCTGGCGAATCTGCAGCCGAGCCAGATTCAAACAAACTGAGGTTCAGGAATGGATCCACACATCCACCCCCGAATTCATGTTTGGGGGAATTCCCCAAAAAGGTGTTGAGGATGCTATCTCTCACATAATCCTCAAAGACATGCATAGCTGGCCGGTTGGTACACTTGACCTGACAAAAGCTTTCGATTATTCTGACCCTGAGATAATCTGCAAACTCTTTGTCCACCAAGGTATGCCGCGCAAAGCTGCACGCATGTTGTTAAGCATGTGGAGCGAACAAATCCGTTTTCTTCAGCTCCATGACGAATTTTTCCCAAACAACCATGTTGTCAAGCGCTCCCTGCCGCAAGGTGACTGCTTTAGCATGTTAGGCATGTGTGTTTTGCTTACTCCCATTGCCAATCACATTCAGAGAAAATACCCTTGTTGCGTTCAAGCTTTATATGCCGATGATCGTTCTTTCACTTGTTCCACTGCGACTGAAATATGGCAAGTTCGAAATGAATGGCATGTTTGGAGCAATAAGGTTGGTCTTCAAGAAAACCCCACCAAAGAGCAATATTACCACCGCAACGTTCAAGGTTGCCGATCTCTCGAGGATGCCGGCTGTCCTCCAGAAACAGTTTCCACTTCCATCACCTTGTTGGGATTCCAGTTCATGGGAGTGACCCAAAGAAAAGCCAAAGACCGAGAACTGACAAGACTCACTGAGGCCAAAGAAGTTCTTCGAAAATGTAGGTGCCTCCCAGGTTCCAAAACACGTAAAGCTGCAGTTGCCAGGGTTTGTGCCCCAGCAAAAGCAAGTTGGGGATGGCTGTTTCGAAGACCCACTCATGCTGAAAGCAACGCTTTCTTTCAGGGAGCAAAAGCGCTGCATCAGTGGCCAAAGCAGTCAGCCGTACCTTTACTCCAAATTTTTACTGGCCATTGGTGGGACTTAGGTTTTGCTGCCACGGTTACGACTCTCCGAGTCCTCACCCGCTATGTTCACAAAACACAGATGCAGTTGCAAAACTGGCCACCCAAAATGAGTGGCTGGACGGGTAGCTTTAGAAAAGGCATGCAAGAACTTGGGTTCGCTGAGGCTGGTAGTTGGACCTGGACGCACCCGATGCTTGAAACTATTCAGATTCAACCAACCACGCTGCCTGAAAAGGCGACCGAAGTGCTGTCACATAGGCTCAGAGATGCTTGGCGAATCAGAAAATATGAGGAATTCTTGGAACTTGACCGACGCGACTCAACGGTTTGTGCAGACATTCCATGTGACCTGACCCGCATTAATATTCTGCGCAAGAAAAAACTCAACAGTCACGAACTGGCTGTTGTAACTGGTGCTTTCATTTCACCTCAATGTCGAAATGCCATGGGAGGTGCTGAAGAAACATGCCCTTATTGCCAACATGTTTGTGCCACTGTGCAGCACATGCTTTGGGAATGTACTCAGAACCCACACCGTGATCCTACTATTAGACCCCACGATGTGCTGCAGGAAAGACTCGCATGGCCCACTACTGATCCTACTAAGGTGGACCATGACAACAAACTTCTAAGGTTTGCAGCTGCAACACGTGCTGATGTGTTGCAGCAGCGCCACGACGACTAGAACCACCTCCATTCTATTCTGGCGATCGCCTCTGGCCTGCGCTGCGGCTGCGGGCAAGTGCGGGCAGCGTCATTGTCTACATCATCATTGTTAAATGTTGTAAGCAGCTTCTCCTGCGCCTCCAGCCACAGCAGAGTGGCACGGTCGCTGCGGGCTCGTCACGGGTGCCAGGCAGGAGAGAAAATTAACGTGGCATGGCCCACGTTTGTTGCAGAAGAATTTGAAAAGAAAAATACAAAAGAAAAAGAAAAAGAACAAAAGTCAAAAAAGGAAGACAAAAAGAACCAATTCAAGAATTTGAATGTGCATTGCACGAAGAGAGCGATTTTTCAAATCGCCAAAAAAGACAAGAGCCATAAGGCCAATCCTAGGATGATGGCTGGCTGGCTGCTGATGCTTTGCTGGTCTGTGCCTTGCTGTGCTGCATTTGACACCAACAAGGACCTGGCCGCCAACCATGACGTCAATTACACCGGCCGCCCTGGATTGATTGTGGAAAATGCCACAACTCAGTCTAACGGCCCCCCAGAGATGACCCGCAACGGGAAAAAATGGCAGCTGACAATCGATGTGCCTCGCAGCGGGCGGCAGATTGCAGATGCGCTGAGCGAATATGGCTCCGTGGATGTGGAAGCTGGTTTCAGACTTTTGACGGAAGTAAGTGCAACTACTTTCGATATCCACCCCTACGGTTCTGGTTCTGACCCCTCAAAACGTAAATTCCCTGGGATCCTCAATGTGATTTTGGATTTGGTCGCTAGGTGTCACCATGGGAAGTTTGGATTTTACCCTCTGAATTTTGTTTCCTCCAAAATGTGGAATTTGGGTTTGGAATGGTGGAAAATTGGGTTTCGCCCCTGGGAATCTTTTCCCCTCGAAATGTGGAATTTTGAGATGGGATGGTTTGATGAAAAAATTCATTGGTCACCCTTTCTTATCTGGTTTTGTTTGGGCACCATGGGAGAAATTTGCGGCTGGTTGCTTAGGTACGGTGTCACTAAGCAATTTGTGCTTGCATGTCTCAAACGGGCTCAAGACAAACGCAAACGAAAACGAATCATCAAACGCTTGAAAAACAAACGCTCAGTGAAAAAATGCAGTGATCTCAAACGCTGTCAGAAGTTGTTGAAACCACATGTTGCATGTGCTGCTAGAAAATGCAGCACGCACAGACTCGGAAAAGCACGCCTGAAACACAGACGATGTGCTTTGAAGCTTCGGATGAGATGGACATATGTTCGAACCAATGGCATGGATGTTTCCCTGTCATACTCTTTCCTCTATTCGGGTTTTCCGAGACCCGAAGAATGGCCACTTGGATATGATGCACTGAGCTGGTACAAGCCTGATGCGAACAATTGCATTTTTGCCTCTGAGTGGTTGCAAGGTGGATATAAACGAAGGACGCAAAGGAAAAAGAATTACAGTGACAATGACAACGCCGCGGTTAGGAGTTTGATCCAAGGTTTGAAGGTATGTCTTAACCAAGGTTCTTTTCCGAAAGAGTTTGAATCCGTGATGTCCTTGTTAGGTCAAGTGGTCGGTCAAAATTCACCCAAAAAGATGTTTAAGAAAAAGAAAACGGTGAAACAGGAGCCCAAACCTGACCCGTCTAGACAAGAGCAGCTGCGGGACAACAAAGATGAAGACTACACCATTCTTGAGACAGGATGGTGGAAAATGAATGGTGCGTGGAAACAGTATTGCAGAGACCCACAAACAGGATGGTGGTGGTGGGACAAGCGTGGTGACAAAGTTACCACAGTGGACCACAACCCCAGACATAATGAAAAGAAACAAGACACTGAGGTTCACAAACCTCAACAGAATACTCCAAACCTTGCCAAGGTGCGAGCTCTCAACCCAGTTGAATGGAACAAGCCAATCAAACTTGTGGATGCGCAAACAGTTTGCCAGGCCATTAAGGAAGGAAAAGACTGGGATGGAAATATTTGCTGCAGTCATGACAGACAGGTCACCCAAGAACTTCGTGACTTGTACACAAGCTTTGGTTTCACGAAAGGACTCACTTTGGTTTTGTCAGCTGATGCAATGAATCAGCTTGGCATCACACTGAGCAGGACCAGGCTTCAAAGGACAAACCAACATGCCAAGGTCGAAGACATTGCCTTGCTCGGTTTAGGCTCTGACTACCCTTGGAGAACTCACCCTGTTAAAGTTGATCCCAACAATGTTACTACGGTTGAAAGGGAATTGGTCAGAATTGTCGTTCCCTCTCACTATAGAGAACTCTTTGTATCTGAACCCCAAAAGGAACGTGTCGTTGATGTCATTTCCGACTTGGCCACTTTTGGATGTCGTGCACATGTCCTCACAGGTGGCAGGTGGGAAAGACAGGAATGGCAGAAACAAAGTTCAAGTTTGGTAGGATGGCTTAAGCTCACCAAAAAAGATGCGGAAACCCTCCTGGAAAAATCAGGGAAAAAAGGTATTTTTATCAATAAGAATATTGATACCTCTAAGGAACGTCCGCATTTTGTGTGGACCAAACACGAAAAAGATGAAACCGATGAAGCATACTACCAGAGATGCCTTCGTCTTTCAGGCGAGAGAGGCCAGCCGATGTGCTTACGGAAAGGGTTGGGAAATGACATTGGTTTCACAAAGAAATCAGATGAAGACATCGAAAAGAAACCCAAACGAATTCAGATTTCTGGAGTTCCCAGGGACTGGATGGCGGAAGAACTGGTTGATTTCCTCAAACAACAAGGATGGACCCAAATGACTATTCACAATAGAAGAAGGGTCAACAAGAAAATTTTTTGGAACGCCTGTGGAATGCCTCCTGTTGCATACCCATACGACCAGGGTCTTTGGGTGTATGAAGGTGCCACTGTGTTTACCATAATAGTCAACGACTCGGTCCATAAACCTGCAGCGCCAAACAGCACCACTGCAGTCAGAGGACCAAGGAAGACATGGGATGAAATTAAGGATCAGCCTCCACAGACGGCCAACACGCGGGGGCGCCCCGCGAAGAGGCAGGCCAAAGAACCCGATGAGCGACATCGGTCCAGATCTGCCGCTGAGAAGCCCGAAAAGGGCGATGAAAATAAGGACCCAATGGAAGTCGAAAAAACGCAGTTGGACTCTCAGACTCAGCCTGAAGCGATTGACAAGCAGAGTTCAAAGCCAACCTCGCAGTCTCTTGGTAATTTGACGGATGCCTTAACCCAAAACTGGACGCTGGCCGATCAAGGTGGATGCGGTGACTGTGGGTACCGGGCATTAATAGACAACTTTCATTATCAAACCACTGGTGAGACTCTTTCCAAAGAAGAATGCATCAAAAATGCCAATCTATTTCGTACGGAAGTGGTACGACATGTTCGCAAACATCAAGATAGGTACGAAAACCATGTCAGAGGTGGGAAAGAGGCCTTTCCTGCCTTTTGTGACAATGCGTTGAAGCAAACTCACTGGATATGTGGACTGCTGCTGCAAGCAGCAGCAGAGGTGAAATCATGCTGCATAGTGGTGTGGAATCAAAAAGATGAAGTTCTGGAAAGATTCACTTTCGCTCCTGAGTGGAGTCCACAGGGGATGCCCAGAATGAAAAAAGAAGCACCAATCCTGGTGGTGTACAGAAACGACAAACATTATCAATCCGTCCGACCACCCCAGGATCAGGACGGCATGACTAAGGTGCCCAAACACTGGGCGCGAGAGACAGCCAAACCCGAGGCCGAAGCACTTGGAGGCGCTGGACCAAGCGTTGGAGAATCGCCTAAAACCCTGCACACGCTCTCCCCTGGCTCTTCCCATGCTCCTTCGCTCCATACTCTCCCCGCCTCCTCCTTTCGCGGATCCTCGGGTGGGGGTGTGATGATCACGCGCGCGCCGTCCCTGCACTCCTTGGTTCCTTCCGCGTCTTCTCCTCCGCGTCTGCGCGCGGTTGTGCACGGCCATGCGGCGGGTGGTGGTTCTTCGGGTGCCCTTGCGCGACCCCATCCTCCGCGCTCCCCCTCTCTTCTTACCTTGGCTGCCTCCCCTCACTCCTGCGAACCTCCGCGTGCTGCCATCAAATCCCAGCAGTTGCAGCATCCGAGTGAAACGGTTGCAAGACCATTCAAAAGATGCAGGTTCAAGCAAAGCAGTTGTGACTCAAGGATTGAAGACATGAAGTTTCTTGCACCCTCTGAGAACGATAAAGCTTCGGTTTTATCTTTAACCTCAGAAACTCACCTCAATTTGACAGACAACCTGACCAAGGACCGGTCGGGTACTAAGGACAAAGGCGCAGTCAAAAATGACAACACAGAATGCGACTTTCGCCCTGACACTGCTCCATATCCTCGACACCTCAAGCGGCTGGATGCTAAGACGCTTGCCAAACCGCAAGGACCTCAGGTATGGGTTTGTCCGCTGCCTGACTGCCGGCATGAAATCAGAATTCCTGCAGGTTTGCAAGCGAGAGCCAAGCTTCAAGCTGCAAAAAGTTCACACCTGAAAAATAGACATACAGATTCCGAAAGAGCTGAATGCCCGCGACTCGGTGCTCAAACTCAGATCACAGTCCCGACCTCGGAACTTCCTGAAAGTGGCAGAGCCTGGAGTTGCCCAGAATGCGGGAAAGGACTCCCACTGTTGCCAAAAGTTTGGCACGAAGCTAGTGTCCGCAAACATTTTGCCGAGGCACACCCTGACACAAATCCAACTCAGGCGTACAGGAAGAAACAAAGAACTGACAAAGGCCTTCGAGCTCGTATGAAACTGCGAGGCAGACATATAGGTCAGCTCAAACAACAGAAGGTCGCTGACAACCTGAAAGTTTGGGCTCCGCAAACGGGGCATGATGTTCGCCAAATTCTTCTCAAACATAACCCCAAAGAAGAGAGACGCAAACTTGATTTGACGTCCGTGCTTGTTTGTGCCAAATGCAGACGAAAAGGGACACCATGTAGATTCAAAACCACCGCATGCACTGATGAAACTCAACCTATCCCGACTCAATTGCTGGGTTGGATCCGAAACATGGCTTTGCGACACCCTGCGAACCAAGGTGCCATCAGAAACGGACTTGGTATGACTGAAGCCGAGGTTGCAAATGCAAACTTCCAAACCAAAAAAAGAGTCAACGGTAAAGGGCCAGCCAAGTGGCTTAGCGGTCCGTTTGCCACCACTTTTCAGGCGGCGCAAGCTGCAGGGCACTTAGTTACTGAGGTCCTTCCGCCGGATGCCATGCGCCACCCGGACTCCACTGCTAAAAAGTTTCCCAAGGGATACCTGACCTGTAAAATTTGCCACAAGGTTAATCCACTTGGTGCTGTCAAAATCTGGACGAATCCATGCCTGGGACATGATCCCACCTCCAAAGGTTTCCAGTCTCAGAAAAGATATTGGCAGTCTTTAACTAAAACCCAAAAAAAAGCCCTCAGTCAAGCATGGGGGAAGACTCTGCAGCAGGGGGAGGAGCTTTTTGCCTCCCAATCCTCCAACAAGCGCAGCCGTAGAGCCAAAGAACATGACCATAATGATAAGGTTGCTGTGAGAATTGGTGAAGCGTCCCATCCAGGACCAAGATCACGAAAATTGCGCAACTTGGATCAACATGTGTCAGTTTGGACATGCAACACTCAAGGACCCAAACAATCGTGGACCTTACAACAGCTGCTCCAAACCCAGGAGCAGGCACCTCAGATTGTGCTGCTTCAGGAATGCTCTTTTAGCCAGGCTGAATGGACCACATTTCAAAAAACTTGTTGGTCTGTGGGGTACAGAAGTTTTTTCTCCGGTGCGCAAAGCACCGTCAATCGACACTACGGAGGAGCTGCAGTCTTGGTTAAATCTTCACTACCTTGTAGACCGGCCTGGTCACACACTCACAAAGGAGGTAGTGCCCAAGCTGTGTGGGTGGGATCAACTCTGGTCATCTCCACTTACCTGGCTCCTAACAGTGATGCAGAAACCGTGAGTGCAGCTGTGGCTCAAACTGTCCACTCTCTCGCTCCAAGACATCGTTTTATTTTGGGGGGGGATTACAATGCCACACCCGAAGAGAATCCCTTTCTTCATTTCTTGATTCCTAGGGAATTTCGTATTCATGCCACTCAAACCCCAACGCGGTGGCAAGGAAACCGCGATATTGACTACTATATCAGTAACCTTGAGCCCACTGAGGTCGAAACGCTTCCTGATGTTGTAGCCGACCACAAAATTGTCAAAACTTTTTTCGATTTATCTACCGAACCTGTTTTAGGTTTCCAACAAGCCAACATTCCTAGAATCCTCCCGAAGGACCCGGAAGTTGCTGAACGAATCCAAATCAAATTGGCTCAGCTCTGGCCGCAGTTTTCCACACAACTTCCAGAGCGATGGTCAGTCAATGTTGACCAGGACTGGCAGATGCTTTCGCAAACTTTTTTTCAAGCCCTAGTTTGTGCAGTCAGGGCTGCTGCCCCTGACATGCTGCAGCGAGTGTCTCCGGCCTTACTGAGGAAAGGAAAGGCCACTGAGGTCTCTCTTAAACAGAAAGAACACATGAAACGACATCCTGCTGGAGCTATGGCTACTCACCGCCAAAGAGTTCTGCGCAGATTGATTGGAAGGTTGCGGGAAGCCCAGCGAAACTTGGATCAAGACAGGCAAAATATCACTGAAAGCCGAGTTCTCTGGAATAAAATCAGACGGTGTTCTATGTACAACCATGATTGGGGTATACAAAGAAACCTTCGGCATCTTGAAACGCTTTTGGAACGGTTCAATCATGAAGATGACTACACCAGACTTCAACGATGGAGAAACAACATGGAACATGACAAGGCTGCATACAGGTGGCTGCGACATAGATCTGTTCCCATGTGCAATGCGGTTAAGAAAACCAAAGACTCTGTTCCTAGTCACTCCACCCAAGACAGCCTGAGGATTCTCAGGGAATTTTGGGCCGATATTTGGAATAGACGTCAAATCTCTTGGGATGATATTTGGGATGATTTGGTTACTCACACTCCACCACGCCCTGCTCCTGACAGCTGGCCAAGCCTCACACCGGAACAACTCCGTTCTGCCACCAAGTGTAGCCGCGGCAGTGCGCCGGGGCTTGACGGCTGGAGAGCTGAGGAACTTAGTTTGTTCAGTGACGAAATGTGGCAGGTCATGTCCGGGTTCTATGATCATTGTGAAGAGCTCGGAAACATTCCTACCATATGGCGATGTGTTCGCCAAGTGCATATCCCGAAAGGGAAACCACCTGAAGCTGACGGCAGCATGCTGGCGGACAACATGCGTCCCATAGCTGTGATGTCGATAATCTGGCGAATCTGCAGCCGAGCCAGATTCAAACAAACTGAGGTTCAGGAATGGATCCACACATCCACCCCCGAATTCATGTTTGGGGGAATTCCCCAAAAAGGTGTTGAGGATGCTATCTCTCACATAATCCTCAAAGACATGCATAGCTGGCCGGTTGGTACACTTGACCTGACAAAAGCTTTCGATTATTCTGACCCTGAGATAATCTGCAAACTCTTTGTCCACCAAGGTATGCCGCGCAAAGCTGCACGCATGTTGTTAAGCATGTGGAGCGAACAAATCCGTTTTCTTCAGCTCCATGACGAATTTTTCCCAAACAACCATGTTGTCAAGCGCTCCCTGCCGCAAGGTGACTGCTTTAGCATGTTAGGCATGTGTGTTTTGCTTACTCCCATTGCCAATCACATTCAGAGAAAATACCCTTGTTGCGTTCAAGCTTTATATGCCGATGATCGTTCTTTCACTTGTTCCACTGCGACTGAAATATGGCAAGTTCGAAATGAATGGCATGTTTGGAGCAATAAGGTTGGTCTTCAAGAAAACCCCACCAAAGAGCAATATTACCACCGCAACGTTCAAGGTTGCCGATCTCTCGAGGATGCCGGCTGTCCTCCAGAAACAGTTTCCACTTCCATCACCTTGTTGGGATTCCAGTTCATGGGAGTGACCCAAAGAAAAGCCAAAGACCGAGAACTGACAAGACTCACTGAGGCCAAAGAAGTTCTTCGAAAATGTAGGTGCCTCCCAGGTTCCAAAACACGTAAAGCTGCAGTTGCCAGGGTTTGTGCCCCAGCAAAAGCAAGTTGGGGATGGCTGTTTCGAAGACCCACTCATGCTGAAAGCAACGCTTTCTTTCAGGGAGCAAAAGCGCTGCATCAGTGGCCAAAGCAGTCAGCCGTACCTTTACTCCAAATTTTTACTGGCCATTGGTGGGACTTAGGTTTTGCTGCCACGGTTACGACTCTCCGAGTCCTCACCCGCTATGTTCACAAAACACAGATGCAGTTGCAAAACTGGCCACCCAAAATGAGTGGCTGGACGGGTAGCTTTAGAAAAGGCATGCAAGAACTTGGGTTCGCTGAGGCTGGTAGTTGGACCTGGACGCACCCGATGCTTGAAACTATTCAGATTCAACCAACCACGCTGCCTGAAAAGACGACCGAAGTGCTGTCACATAGGCTCAGAGATGCTTGGCGAATCAGAAAATATGAGGAATTCTTGGAACTTGACCGACGCGACTCAACGGTTTGTGCAGACATTCCATGTGACCTGACCCGCATTAATATTCTGCGCAAGAAAAAACTCAACAGTCACGAACTGGCTGTTGTAACTGGTGCTTTCATTTCACCTCAATGTCGAAATGCCATGGGAGGTGCTGAAGAAACATGCCCTTATTGCCAACATGTTTGTGCCACTGTGCAGCACATGCTTTGGGAATGTACTCAGAACCCACACCGTGATCCTACTATTAGACCCCACGATGTGCTGCAGGAAAGACTCGCATGGCCCACTACTGATCCTGCTAAGGTGGACCATGACAACAAACTTTAAGGTTTGCAGCTGCAACACGTGCTGATGTGTTGCAGCAGCGCCACGACGACTAGAACCACCTCCATTCTATTCTGGCGATCGCCTCTGGCCTGCGCTGCGGCTGCGGGCAAGTGCGGGCAGCGTCATTGTCTACATCATCATCACGTTAAATGTCGTAACTGCCGTATTTTGCCAAAGTGCAATTGAGAGCGCGCAGAAAGATCACGCAACCGTGGTGCAAAATATGTTGGACAACAAAGAATCGCACCTGCAAAAGTTGCGCACTTTGTTCAGCAAGATGGGCGCTGAAGAAGCCGGTGGCATTACATTTGGAATGTTTGAAGAGAAAATAAATTCTCAAGCTGTCCGGGAATATTTTGAAACTTTGGGCCTCGATGTTTGGGACCCTTGGTCCTTTTTCAAGCTGTTGGACTCTGACGGTGGCGGATTTGTTGAAGTGGAAGAATTTTTTTTGGGATGCCTGCGCTTTAGCGGTGCTGCCAAAGCGATGGATGTTGGGAAACTTATCCAAGACCAAACGTGGCTTATTCGGAGCCAAGGCCGCTTCCAAAGGCGCCCTGGTATTTTTATTTGTTGCACAATTTGCGCTTGTATTTGCTGTGCTGAAGGCAAAGCAAAAGTAAATTTTGGTTTGGTTTGGATTGTTTTTTGGTTTAATGGTTGAATGCTGCGAATGCATTCTATGAAACCATTTGGCTGCGTTGGCGAAAACTTGTTGCGTTCCCTTCGCTAGGTACATGGAAGATGAACTTTGTCAAGTGAAAGATGGCTTGACAACGATGGCTGATGTTTTGAGCGCTATGTCTCGGGGTGTTTCCTGCACACAGTTGTAGCAGTGGAGCAACCATTACGCAGCCATTCACAATGATAGCAACAAAAAGTTCCGAGCAGCTCAGTCCTTGACTCGTTTTTGGTTGCACCAAGGCGCCCAAGAAATCTCGTTCAGGCATAGCATGACACCATGGTGCAGGACACATGGGTTCACCGAAACAGCCCCATTGAAGCACGAAAAACATATTCCAGTGAAGGCCTATGACATTGTTCCAGTCCATCCTCGCGACGGCAACGGTCCAAAACTGATAGACCCACGAGCAATGACACCCAGGATTTCCAAGCATAAAGTCACAACTGCCAGTATGACACACGCATTTTCACGAGCACAGGGATCAAGGCCAAAGCTGCCAGCAGAACAACAAGACCAAGCGGAACAACAAGAACAAGAACAACAAAGCACAACAAAGCACAACAAAGAACAACAAAGAACAACAAACAGCAAGAACCTCAAGAACAAGAAGAACAAGACGAACAGAAAATGCAGTAAGAACAACAACATCCGAAACTTCACAGAGCAAATGCCACGGGTTCGTGACGCCTTTGTTTCAAGAAGCACGCTTGGCGGACATCACCCACATGTCGATATTTGGGGGTGGGACACAACGCTGACCAACTCAATGCATTTCTAATTGTCAAAGCGTGTCAAAGCGTGTGTGCGATGTTCTGTGGACTTGGCACTTGATCACTAGAAACTGCTATGTTGTTCTTGTCGTTCTTGTCGTTCTTGTTGAATTTGTTGATTTTGCTGTTCTTGTTGTTCCAGTTGTTCTTGCTGTTCTTGGGGTTCTCGTTGTTCAGGTTGAATTTGTGGTTCTTATTGAGTTTGCCGATCTTATTGTTCCAGTTGCTCTTGTCGTTCTTGTTGAATATGTTGGTTTTGTTGTTCTTGTTGATATTGTTGTTCTTGCTGCCGTTGGTGGTTGTGGTGGCCTTCGTCTTGGTGCAGGTGCGGGTGCAGGTTCTGTTGCTTCAGCTGCTTCCGCTCCTGCTGCTGCTACCGCTGTTGTTCTTGCGGTTGTTGTTCTGCACCCCGCCGCAGCTGCCACCTCATCTCTATCAATCACTTTTCTGCCAAAATCATGTCTCTAGCCTCTAGCAAACTTTTCTCTGTCAAGCTTATTCTTGCTAAAACTTACCTCCGCTAAACCCATCTCTATCAAATTTTATCCTTTGTATCGGGCTTTGCCATCTGTGCCAAACTAACCTTTAACCAGCTTTTTCCAAGCAAGCTGTTCCTGCCAAGTTTTCTCTGCAAATACTTCTCTATGCCTATCCATCCATCTTTCAGTTTGTTTACCATCGATCCTTCTGTCTAACTATCTTTCTATCGTTCTATCTATCATTCCATGTCCCTAATCTAAACGTACCTACGATCATCTGGTTTAAACGTTTTGAAGTATGTACCTTGATATCTCAGCTGCTATCTACAGTAGGTTAGAAATTTCAGCTGATGTTTCATCTGGAATTTAATCTAACATCTCATTTCGTCTGGTTTAATATCTTTAATCTACTTCAATCGAGCCGCATCGGCTCTGATCTTTTTGATTTCAATCCAGTCAAATCAGCTTAATTTGTTTAGGGCAGTCTAAATGTATCTCTTCCAGCCCAAAGCCTGTTCTAGTTTAATCGATACATGTTGGCTTTATTCAATTTAGGGTCTCATGCCTCAATATTTCATTTGGGCATATCTAGGCCACCTTCTTTTTACCGTCATGAATCACCTCATTTTATGTCTTTTCTAAACTAACCAAGCTGGATGAAACATTCGATCTAAATGCCCAAAGCTTCAAACCTAATTTACATCTGGCCTCTTTGAGTCTTGCATCTAATCGCATGTGCTATACGCTAATATACCCTAATGAATATCTAGTCCAGCCTGATCTATCTGATAAAACGTCTCGATCTGACCTGATCGAACCCCATCAACTCCAATCTCATCTAACCTGATGCAATCTAGCCTGCACGATTCTCATCCGACCTCTGTTATTTCTAGTGTTTCACATACTTCAACCGAAGCAATTTTTCCATCTAATTCAGTTTGGCCCGGTCCAATGTAATTCAACTTCACAAATCCCACCTGGTTTCATCTAGCCTAATCAAAATTCATCCATCTGATATGGCATATCTAAATTTATCTACGTTAATTTCATATCTAATCGAGATTAATTAGTCTAGTCTAACTTAATCTAACTAACATACTCTGTCCTAAGTTTACCCTTTAAATTTGTAACTGAAATTCTCGAGTATTATATCTAACCTGGCCTAGTTTTACCTATTTTGTTGGGCATGTCTAATGTAACCCGTATCCAATCTTTCTACTCTAGTCTTGCCCATGCCAATCTTATGTCATGTCATGGGAGTGAAATCAAAAACGATGTCCAAATCTATACTCGCATAACCTAATCTAGCCTAATCCAAACTAGTCTACTCTAGTTTGCTTTCTATCTATCCGTCCACCTACCTGTTGATCTACCTGTGTGCGGTTTTTATTTACCTGGACGCTCGTCCGTCCATCTGTCTATCTTCCTATGTGTCGGTTTTCTGCGTTTGGATCTACCTATTTGTTCGTCCGCATTCCTTTCTCTCACCTTATGTTGTTCTTCATCCCCATATCTCTATCTTTGGTTCTGCTCAACCAGCTTCTTGACCCAACCGAATATCCATATTTCAATCCCACAAAGATAATAGAAGAAAAAATCGCGTGTGCATTTCAAGACATCGAACACTGCAATCAGAAGTGCAACTGAGATGCTCTGGCACTCCGCAGCTGTGTGAGTTTTAAGAAGTGTACATGTTCACGCAGTAATTTCAAGAGCAATTCGCAGGAATGAATTCAGGTGCGACGCATCTCTTTGGTTCTATTGCTTTTTTCAAAAAGAACGATCAACGGATGTTTACTTTAATCGCAAAGAATATTTTTTATTGGCGATTGGACACAAAGATTTTGGGTGAGGATTGGATATTACAAATTTATCGTGGATTCAGCGGCGTCCCCGCGTCCCCGCAATTTCTATGAGGTTGGCATTGGGAATGGAAGTGCGGGGGAAGGATTCTGAATTGCACATCATAGAGATGCAGCCGAGGAAAAAGGTAAAACAAAAAATCCGGAAATCCGGCCGAAACGACGCATCTCAGAATCGAAACCTAAGAATGGTGAATTGCACTGTCGCGTTTGTAGTTTTTCCCGAATGCATAGCGAAGGGTTCCCGTTTATAGTCTGGGGGTCTGGGGGCTGGACCCTTGTTCGCCTCCAGTTGGTCGTCGCGTCGTTTTCGTTAATTCCGTGTCTATGGGGGAAGCTGCAAAGCCTCGCTTGTTTTGCTGCGCTCACGTCGCCGTGTCTATGGGGGAAGCTGCAAAACCTATCTCGTCTCGAGTTTCTGCTTGTCCTCTGGCGTCGCCGTGTCTGTGGGGAAAGCTGCAAAGCCTCCTTCGTTTTGCTGCACTCACGTCGCCGTGTCTATGGGAGAAGCTGCAAAACTTCAATCTCTGCTTTTCCTCTGGCGTCGCCGTGTCTATGGGAGAAGCTGCAAAACATCGCTCAATTTGCTACGTCGAGTCTCTGCTTTTCCTCGACTTTGCGCAAGCTTTGTAGTACAAAGTAGTACTGGGAACGACTTTGTGCAAGCTTTGTAGTACAAAGTAGTACTGGGAAGTAGTTTGTGCAAGCTTTGTAGTACAAAGTAGTACTGGAACGTGCTTTGCGCAAGCTGTGTAGTACAAAGTAGTACTGGGAAGTAGTTTCTGCAAGCTTTGTAGCGCAATGTACTACTAGAACGTGCTTTGTGCAAGCTTTGTAGTACATAGTAGTACTGGGAACGGCTTTGCGCAAGCTTTGTAGTAAAAAGTAGTACTGGGAAGTGCTTTGTGCAAGCTTTGTAGTACAAAGTAGTACTAGCAAAGGCCTTTGTGCGAGCTTTGTAGTACAAAGTAGTACTGGGAAGTAGTTTGTGCACGCTCTGTAGTACAAAGTAGTACTGGGAAGTACTTTGTGCAAGCTCTGTAGTACAAAGTAGTAATGGGAAGTAGTTTGTGCAAGCTTTCTAGTACACAGTAGTACTGGGAAGTGCTTTGTGCAAGCTTTGTAGTACAAAGTAGTACTGGGAAGTAGTTTTTGCAAGCTGTGTAGTACAAAGTAGTACTGGGAAGTAGTTTGTGCAAGCTTTGTAGTACAAAGAAGTACTCGAAACTATTTTGCGCGAGCTTTATAGTACAAAGTAGTACTGGAAGGTGCTTTGTGCAAGCTTCGTAGTACAAAGTAGTACTGGAACGTGCTTTGTGCAAGCTGTGTAGTACAAAGTAGTACTGGGAAGTAGTTTCTGCAAGCTTTGTAGCGCAATGTAGTACTGGGAAGTGCTTAGTGCAAGCTTTGTAGTACGAAGTAGTACTAGGAAGCGCTTTGTGCAAGCTCTGTAGTACAAAGTAGTTTTTGGAAGTAGCTTGCGCAAGCTTCCTAGTACACAGTAGTACTGGGAAGTGCTTTGTGCAAGCTTTGTAGTACAAAGTAGTAGTGGGAAGTGCTTTGTGCAAGCTTTGTAGTACAAAGTAGTACTGGGAAGTGCTTTGTGCAAGCTGTGTAGTACAAAGTAGTACAGGGAAGTAGTTTGTGCGAGCTTTGTAGTACAAAGTAGTACTGGGAAGTAGTTTGTGCAAGCTTTCGAGTACAAAGTAGTACTGGGAAGTAGTTTGTGCAAGCTTTGTAGTACAAAGTAGTGCTGGGAAGTAGTTTTTTCAAGCTGTGTAGTACAAAGTAGTACTGGGAAGTAGTTTGTGCAAGCTTTGTAGTACAAAGAAGTACTGTAAACTACTTTGTGCGAGCTTTATAGTACAAAGTAGTACTGGAACGTGCTTTGTGCAAGCTTCGCAGTACAAAGTAGTACTGGAACGTGCTTTGTGCAAGCTGTGTAGTACAAAGTAGTACTGGGAAGTGCTTTGTGCGTAGTACAAAGTAGTACTGGGAAGTGCTTTGTGCAAACGTTGTGTAAAGTAGGGAGTGCGG